GAGCTCAGAGTAGGTCAACTGAGTGAGGTAACTGGATGATTTAAGCTCATAATCCAGCACAGACTCTACCCACAACACACACACACATGCACGCACACCAAACCCACTTGAACACTGGTCTAAAAGTAGGCTAGTTGGTTAAAGTTTAGCATACTAGCTCTTTTTCCTAACCTATCCACATTGGCACTTCTGAATTAATGTAAAGATTATTGATCCTGAGAATTTAGGTTAGCCTTCCTTCCTTCCTTCCTTCCTTCCTTCCTTCCTTCCTTCCTTCCTTCCTTCCTTCCTTCCTTCCTTCCTTCCTTCCTTCCTTCCTTCCTTCCTTCCTTCCTTCCTTCCGTCCGTCCGTCCGTCCGTCCGTCCGTCCGTCCGTCCGTCCGTCCGTCCGTCCGTCCGTCCGTGGGACCACAGAACCTTTATTTAAATACCATGGTACATTAATAGGATGCAGAGGTGGGTTGTAATGAAGCGCACATTTAGGCCTACTTTGGTACATTATTTACTTGAGTAGGCTATTTAAAATTGCACTTTAAAATTGTACTTAAATGTGGGTAGCCTAAGCTTAAACTCGCCTTTAGACAAAGTCTTCAAAACAGAAAATTTTCCGGTCATAAATGACCGAAGACCGTCTGAGGGTTAACCCCTAGTTGCTCCAGAGGCGTGCAACCTCTGACATGTATAGCAATTGTAAGTCGATTGGGATAAAAGCGTCAGCTAAACGAATAAATGTGAATGTAAATGTCATTTGAAACATTAGCATTGTCTATTTTGGACTCTTCCTTCATCTTCCTCTGTAAACATGAGTCACTGGCTTCAGGCATTGCTATGGCGACTTGAGGACTGCCAGTCCTGCAAGGCTTTGCCACTGCTGTCATCGCATATGCCGAATGACTCACGGACAGCAGTCTAATCTATCGCAGGCCTGTCACTGCGGCCAGACACACTGCCATCCTCCTCTGGCAATGTTCTATACTTTTCAGCCCATGCGGATTTAAACTTGGCAATAAATTCAGGGAAAAGCCATTTATCACTTTAGTTTTTTTTTCTCCACTACTTTTTTTTTATTTAAACCTTAAAGCCATAAAAAGGTGACTTCACGATGAAGATGACTTCATGCATGTTTTCAGTACAATCATCTCTTTATGTGACCTTTGACTTCAGCTCAGTTGTGATGCATCATGTTTGATAAGATTAATGTGAATGTGAATGCTGCAAGAACTCTGGATTAGAACCTGGATCATGGAGATTCATTGAAAGAAAAGACTTTTGTTTGAAGTATCCATATACATTCCTGATTCTAATGCTGCATTCAAAGGCAAATGTTGGATATTCCTACTTTCAACCATACAGCAAACCATTTATTGTTTTTACACATCTGTTAGCGGAAGGAGTTTTATAATCTTGTATTGTAGGAAGTTTGACTAATTGACAACACAATTGTCTATTTTCAATTGTGTTGATTAATCTTTTGGGGGTGGCGCTGTGTTCTTGTAACGTCACGCACCCACAGCTCTGTGAAATTATACTTGCAGATTTCGCCATTAGTTGTGTTCCAGGAGACATTGTACATTGTTCCTGTCAAGAGACATTGTATTATGCTTAAGTTTAAGTTGATTGAAGCAACTTGAATGCAAGAAAGAGGTTATTGTAGCATATTATATGCATGCAAAGTTGCATTTATTGGCAAACTGTCACTGTGAATTACACTTGGAATATAGCATAACATCTGTGAATAAAGTGCCACTTGCTTTTTATGTGTTTAAGAGAACAAAATGTTTACTTCCTGAGAAACTGGTGCAAAGTATTAGTATAAGATAGTAAAAAGTTGCTGCAATCGGAAAAGCCTGTGACATTTTTTTCCTGTCTAATAATTTGCGCCTCACAGAGAAAACGCATGAATTTCAGGAATGCAATCGTGTGAGAAAGTTCTGGTAGGTAATTATACCAAATCATTTTGATGACCGGCTTCTGCTCAGGCATTTCAGAATGACTAAAACAATATTTTAGATGGAATGAAATTGGTCTGGTAATTAGTCCATTTGTCCAATCATACGATCTGTTGAGGAAAAGTCATACAGAAATGCATTTAAATGTTTCTATTTCAAAGTTTTTTTTTTATGTGCACTTTAAAGGGATAGTTCACCCAAAAATGAAGATTCTGTCATCACTTACTCACCCTGAAGTTGTTCCAAACCTGGATTAACACAAAAGATTATTATAGTAGCCAAACAGTTGACACTACCCATTAACTTCCATATTAGGAAAAAAAAAATACTATGTAAATCAATGGCTACCATGAACTGCCTGGTTACCAACATTCCTTAAAATATCATCTTTTGTGTTCAGCAGAAAAAAGAAACTCATCCAGGTGGAACAATTTCAGGGTGAGTTAGTGATGACAGAATCTTCATTTTTGGGTGATCTCTCCCTTTAAGATTTTATGCACATTTTAGCATTCGATCCAGCTTTTTGTATGTGTTAATCCCCAAATCTGCATAAAAATAAGTGTAAGGAAACCGATTGACAAACTCACCACAATCTCCTTTAAATACAACCAACAGCTAAACTCCCCAAATAAGTGATTAGTGCTGTAGTCCATGTTGGCACGGGCTGTGCCTCTGCTCAGGGTGGTTCACAGCGGTGTTGAGTGAACATTAGCACTGACCGCTCAGGTTCTGCTTGAGTGCTTTTTCACTCATGGCCCGTCTGACCACTGGAGTGGAAGAGAGAGAGTCTCCTGCAGGGTTCAACTGTCATTCATAAAACAACCAAGCACTGAACTGCTACTGACTCCTAGACACATTTTTAATAAATGAGCAGATTTTTTATTTTTTTTTGCTTTGTTGGCATGCATTTGACTTTACTACTTGGATTATATTAGTTTCTGATCAAATAGCTGTTTTTTGCTATGTTGCAATTAAGATAATTAGTAAAGATAATCTTTAAAAAAGATTAAAAGCATAAAAAATAGTTCTTCTGCTTTATGTTGGAAAGAATAGTTCCCCCAAAAAATGACATTTCGGTCATACTTGTACATCAAATATGTTGTCTATAGGTCAGATGTAAGTGACATCAGACATAATGTGTTTTTCAATGAGCAATAATGATGTCATTTTTTTTTTATTGTATGACTTTTATTCCAAATAGCGCTGTCATGTTGACATCATGACTCTCTTTGTTAAAAATTAATTTTTTTTTTCTTAAATTGACAAAATGAAATACATGATTTAAGATTTACAATGGCTTTTTTCAATAGTTGTTTAGTGGGTTAAATTGAACATAAACCGGAAGATTCCTGGACTTATTTTTGCTTGAAAGTCAAAATATGTATACTTTATTTTAGGGACCCATCAATTTATGGGCATTTATTGACCATTTTTGCGACCTAGACTGTAAAAAAAATGTGTTCATGATTTGTAATCACAACATTTTTTCTTTTGTCAAATCAACTTAACTTATGTTGTTCAGATAACATAATATTTTTAGTTTCTGATGATTAAACCAATCTCCTTCGTTGTATTAACTTACTTTTTCCATTTCAATGAACTTCAATGAACAACCAGGTTACTATATTTTTTAAGTTTAAACCAACGATATGTTTTTACAGTGTAGGACTCGTAGTGATTGTTATTTTTATATAGCATATAAAATAAATTATATATATATATATATATATATATAAAAAAGGTATAAAGCATCCAAAAGCAGTGTCTGGGAGTATCAGTAAGTTTTAATGTAGTCAAATTTGTTGCATGCTTTTTCCAAGCACTGGTTTCAGTTGGATTTGGGTCCACACCAGACACTGTAGTGTGAAGGTGTCTTGACTCCTGAGCCTAAAACACTTATATTTAGTCTGCTCTCATGCCAGGACCTACCACTCAAGATCACAACCTGACCTACTGTATAGAGCTTAGGAAAGTGGATTAACAAGACAGTCATTAAGATTTAGTGATCTCTGCCCGCGGAATGATTTCACAATCCGTAATCTTGATTGAGTATGTGCATGTAGTAAGATTGTGTGATTTATTTTAAAATAATTGGCTCATGTTTGTTATTGTCTGACATTGTTTAAAATCATATAAAAACCCTAAGCATTTCAGAGTGAAATTCATTCTTTATAGCTCAGGTGATTGGTTTAATAATAATAAACGCATTCTCACCCCAAGGCGTCACCTTTGCCCATGCTTCAATATTTGACGTTTTAGGCGCCCTTTAGCGTCACTTACATGACGCGATCCTACGGCGTCATCTAACAACTGACGCTAAAGGAAAGCGTCAGTTAGAGGACGCGGTTAGGTTTAGGTGTGGGGTGGGGGTAGGGTACACACGATCCTAGGGCGTCATCTAACTGACGCTAAAGGGCGCCTAAAGCGTCAGATATTGAAGCATGTCCAAATGCTTCCCAAGGCGTCAGTTAGGTGACGCCTTGGGAGTGAGAATGGGCTGTAATAATTTATTCAGATTTGAGTGTACATGAGCAAAGATCAGTTTTTTCCCATGTTATCCAAAGGAACACTTGAAGAGGCAGGATGAAGTATTGCATTTTTAAAATAGATTACAAACAACCTTTTTATTTTCTTCAAAGTAGCATGCACATTGTTCACAAAACATCCAGGAGCATCTATTAAGAGTAAATTGGGTTCATTTTGATATATCATGCTTTTAGCCAGAGCATTTAGTGCAACTTGACACTTTCTTCTGCATGCATTAGTAGCTTTCAGTGGTCCTTTTAACATTTTGGGCGTCTCGAAACATCAAAGAATCTTTCATTGATACCGTATTTATCATCTCGCTTCATTCAACTCCAGTTCTTTAATAGGCAGACACAAAAAAATGTGCAATATGGAGTTCATAAATCTCCCTCCCTCCCTTAGCGACAGCTCTCCCCTCTTATCTTGTCTTCTTTAGCGTCACAGGAGCATGGCGAAGAAGCGTCCTTGTGCCCTAAGCTCGAGAGAGAGAGGGAGAGGGAGGGAGGGAGAGAGAGAGGGAGGAGATGCGGCGTCAGTCAGCTGCAGTAGGCAGAGGACAGCAGCAGTGCCGGTAACTGTGGCTGCCGTTCTCTATTGTTCAGCCAAAGCGTTCCCCTTTTCCCTCCAGCCAACCAAAGGAGCAGAAGACGAGGAAAACCGCCACATGCACCTTTCCTTGAGGAACGCTAGCTGAAGAGGCACGCAAACTCTTTCAGTCTGTGCGACTGAAGTTCTTTCTCTGCTCTCATTGGGGTTTCTTTTCCTCCCGACCGACCGAGTGGATTTTACCCGACTCACGGGGAGCCATGGGACTTGGGGTTAGGGGTGCAAGGACAGCGTTCCTGTGTTTATGGAGGTTATTTTTACTGCTCTGTGGAATCTGGAGCGTTTGCTCCCAAACGACAGGAGACGGGAAGTCGCTGTACTTCTGGGAGACAGGTATACGGCTATTTCCATAAGTACCTTGATGGATGTCAGTGGGATATGAAGGTGCCAGATGTCCTCTGCTTGTACAAAGTTGCATTGTAATTAGTTGTATCATCTGGTGTGATGAACGAGGACCAGTAGAGGTCTTCACTCTCACTTCAAAACAGCTCTGCGAAGAGTGTTTGAATTATTTCTTATCATCCTAATTTCTGATTCTCAAAGTCTGCACTGTAGAGAATGTGTCCCCGTTTCCACACAGTAGGCTGTCTCCATTTTCCCAGGCTGATTGTTCGATTTCTTGTGCTAGATAAGAGCCATATCATTATCATAATAAAACCTGACAGGATAATGGAAGCTGCTCCGAGGTACAAAGTAATGGAAGTTATTTGACTTTTGATTGTGAATTTAGCCGCGTTTCGCCGTCACCTCTTCTGTTCACAAAGGCTGCTATAGTAAAAAATGTCTAGTATAATATTATATATTATGAGTAGTATATTAAATATACATTATATTTAATAATTGTTTTTATTATTCACATAATTAACCATTTAACGTATTTTTACATTGTGATATTTCATGATATTAAAACACATCTCACCCCCTAATTCTCAGTACTGTAATGCTAAAAGATAATGGAAAATCTAATACAATGAAAATCAGTATTGGGACAGTATTATTTCAAATAAAAAAATATATGCATTCATTTCAGTACAATATATACATTAATTTTGTAATGAGAATCAGTGATCTGATAAAAAAAGTTCAAGCACTTTCATTACTGTTTGTACAAAGCATTCAAATCATCAGCAAAAGTCTTGGATTTTCCTATTGGCCAGAGCGACGTCCCGAGTCAATGTGCAGTTGTCACTATATTATGAATTTTTTAAAGAGGATTTAACCACGTAAGGAGGTTAAATGAGCTGTTGGGATTTATACTGTGAAAACATCCTTAATACATGCATGCAGAAGCGGAGCGGCAGGCGAACGTAACCTACACATCTCTCTCCTGTAGGTCACAGTAATTACAGATCATCGGCTCATTTCATTGAAAAACATCTTGTGGAAATGTTGAGAGTTTATCTTGGATGGGCAGATCCATGATAGTAGCGTATCTGTGCCGTTTGACGGTGATGGCGCTCGGGTGTGATAATGTTATTGCGCTTTCTAGAACGCTCAAGGGGAGGGAAATTTAGTTTTGACGTATGATGTACTGTATGCACAATGAATTTGACCGTATAAGCGCTCGGGCTTCAACCTGTGGGGAATTGGCTCACATCTCCGCTGTTTATTGGCTTCACAGAAGAGCAATAAATCTGCTGTCTAGGGCTGATATCCCCCATGATGGAGATGTTCATATAACAGGCCTGGAAACACAAGTGCTCAGCAGCTTGCCTCGAAATGATGGTTAAAACATACACGCTTTTCTTTAAGTGATTCTTAATGGTTGTTTTTCTTGCTGCGATCGATACCGCTGGCATACTCTGTGCTGTTATTTCTAATAAGCAAGCTGGATTAAATGGCACGCTGCTGTACATTTCCCTCCCTGTTTGCTGTCTGATCGCGGGTTTGATGTTCAAATATCCCTGGAGAAGACCGGAGCAATTTTGTCCTGATCTCCACATGCCTCAGCCTCCAATTAGAAGAAGTCTTTTCTTATTTTATCGACATGCAGTATTGCGCTGACCCCCACCGCTCCAGATCTCAGCTGCGGCTCTCGTGTGTCTCAAAACAGGCCAATGTTCCTCAGGACTTGTAGGCTATTCTTGGTTAAATAGTGAGTACACTGTAAAAAATAAAACCGTAATTTTCACGGTAAAAAAACGGCAGAACTTTACTGTCAAAAATACGGTAGGAACCGTATTTTTGGTTTGGTTTTACAGACTTAACTTAAAATTTACAGTAATAAACCGTATTTCATTTTCTGAAATCTACGGTAGGAACGTACATGGTTTTACAGACATAACTTAAAATTTACAATAATAAACCGTATTTTATTTTCTGAAATCTACGAATGTAAATGGCTTTACAGACTTAACTTAAAATTTACAATAATAAACCGTATTTCATTTTCTGAATCCACGATAGGAACGTAAATGGTTTTACAAGCTTAGCTTAAAATTTACAGTAATAAACCGTATTTCATTTTCTGAAATCTACGAAAGGAACGTAAATGGTTTTACAGACTTAACTTAAAATTTACAGTAATAAACTGTATTTCATTTTCTGACATCTACGATAGGAACGTAAATGGTTTTACAGACTTAACTTAAAATTTACAGTAATAAAACACATTTCAATTTCTGAAATCTGTTGATTTAAAAAATTTAATATCAGTTTTGTAACATTGTAATACACTGACAACCAACAATCATCACAGCAGTGATGAGAGTTACAGTACATGATCAATCAAAGCTCATCACAAGTAGTCTTCGATTAGAAGGTTAGTACTTATACAAAGAAGCTGCACAGTGTCATTCACACAAACATTAAACACCATCATGGTAACACACATGAAATTATAATAATAAAAACAATATACATTAATTTAACAACATTAAATGTAACATAAAACCCTAATGTACATAACTGATTAGAAAAAAAAACAAGAAAACTATGAGAAACCATAGTTATTTCAACAAAAATACATAAAACATGTCATGCAGGGAATTGTGGGAATGTCAATTTACGTTTTTTTTCAGTGTAAATTATAGAATGAGTTGTTCTTTTTCACTTTTAAAAACTGTAAATTTAACTGTATTTTACAGTAAAATTATTTACCATATATAGTATGGAAACTTTCTGTTAACAAATTAACAGTTTTTTACCGTTAAAATTACGATAATTTTTTACAGTGGCATCAGAAATGAAGAGGAATAATTCATCATTCGATTTGTAGAGGGGTTATTTTTTAAATTCAGGATGTCGATGTGTTCTGCACAGATAGTTACTAAAGCAGTAAATCACGAGAGGCCGTCGATTAGCCTACTTTGATTTTTCCAAAAGCAAGGGGAGATTTTAGGCACGAAGTGGAAAACTGGCTTATTGTTTTTATAAAACTGTGCTAGCATAAAAGTTGACATCAAAGAGTCTGAACTATCTTTTATACCATACTAGACTTTGCTAAACCAACTTTTTCATATCATCAGCTTTCCTTTCGTTTGTTCCATATACCAAAGCATATAGCCTATATACTCCCGAAAAACATGAAAATATGTAATTGAAAAACTGTATGCTCTTACTTTTTTCTGTGGAACACAAAAGAAGATATTTTAAAAGAATGTTGGTAACCAAGCAACATTGCACATTAGCTTCGACAAATCTACATCGACATCTATCGACAAAAACACCGAGACTTCTCAAATTATAAAAGTAGGCTATACAGTTTGAGTGTAAAAAATAGTGACCCATCCCTTTACCTTCTTAAAGGGTATTCCTTCTTACAATCCCTACCTATCTTTAGAGTGCGTGCTCTTTCTCTTTCTTGCTGAAGGCATTGCTCACAGCCATGTTTTTTCATGTGATTTCATGAGATCCAAAGTGCACATTAGGACACGCATTAGGTGGCCAAACTTAGAGACCACATACAGTGGATTCTGCTTAAAAGCAGTAATGTCATTCGGGTTTCATAATGAATCCATGAGCATAATACCCATGTTCTATGAGTCAGACGAAACACCTAAGCCAAGTTATTATTAAATGATTGATACGCTATTACGCTCTTACACAAAGGAGGTGTTATATATGCTGGTAATACTTTTTCTTATCAAGCTGAAAAGATTTCCAAGCGGGTTTATTTGGGTTTGGTTCTGGTCTAGTGGATTGTTCTGGTGATCAGGTGATGGACATCAAAACAAATATCTGCTAACCAACTATTGTAGTCTTTTCAACAGGACAAGGTTCTTGAGTTGATCTTTATGATCTTTAGAGATTAAGTTGTTGACCTTTTCATATCAGCGTATTTGTTTCTGGATTTTTAAAGCACCAATTCATGTTTTTCATAGAAGCTTGTGGGACTCTGATTTAATTGAGTACATTGTAAATTAATTATGTTAGTTGTCAGTTGTCAAGGAAGATTATTGGAGTACGTTTTACAAGAAAATACTATTTCATTTTTTTTCTACTTCAAAATTAAACATTTAATTAAATGTTTCTTGCAGATTTTGGGGAATTATTTGTAAAAATTAAATGAATTTTTTTTTATGTTAAACATGTACACTGTTTCCTAACTAGTCACAATGCAACACGTTTCACCAAATAATGCCAATCAGAACATAATTAATGTTTAATATTCTATATTTTTTATGCTTGTATTGGTTCAAGGGTAGTTCTGACATGGTTGTAGGCTAACCTATCGGCTAAACTCACAACCAATAGGAATGGTTAATGGTTACTCTTGTGTGTGGCTCATGTCTCAGCAGGGTTTATCCACTCTTAGAGCAGAGATTACCCAGATTACGCTGGATTCTTCTCTTGTCTCCTGATCACACAATCCCTCGAGAACAAAGTTGTGCTGTCAGAGCTTCTCACACTTCACCATGTTGACTCTATAATAAGGCTTGTTAATGAAGCAGGAGCACGGAGGTTGCATTCTGTTAAGATCTTTACTCCACCACACACACACACACACACACACACACATGTTGAGTTTTCCTGTTTTATGGGGACCTTCCTTAGACATAATGATTTTTATACAGTACAAACTGTATATTCTATCCCCTTACACTTACCCTACCCCCCTAAACCTATTCATCAGATGTCTTTCTGCATATTTATATTTTACATTTTCAAAAAAAAAAAAAAAAAAACATCCCTTAGTATGATTTATAAGCTGTTTTCTTCATAGGGACCAAAAATGTGCCCACAAGGATTTCAGATATTGCCATCTTTGTGTGGACATTTTGTCCCCATAATATAAGGTTTACCAAGCCTCCCCCCCACACACAATGGCTTTTTGTACATGCTTTAAGCCAGGTGTGTCCACATAGACTTAGTGCGTTTCAAAATGCATTGTA